CCCCAAAACCCCAAAACCCCAAAACCCCGAGTAAACCTATAAGTGGAGATAGGAGGTATGATAAAATGAACAGTAATTAGATTTAATGAGTTAAAAATTTAAATTTTAAATTCAATCATTTAATTGTAAAAATCTATAAATGAACTCATAAAGAGGTCCCCCACCGACTAATATTTGGCCAAAGACATAACCAAATTAAACCATATCCTCTTACTCTGGAAGTTTATCCTAAAGAGGCGCTTCAACAAGAGCGGAATGGAATAAGAAAACTTCGATAATGAGCTCAAAGCCATTCAACTAAACAAGGTCAATTGACAATAGACAGTAGACTCTGCTATAAAAAAAGATAGATTTAAACAATAGCAGTAGCAATGTAAACTCACTTAGCACAGGCCAAAATTTCTTATTTAACACTTACTCGGCAACTGGCAACCAAAATTCTAAGCATTCACTACAGTCAAACGATTAGAACAAAGTTAGAAATAAATCAAATAAGGGCTGGAGTAACAACCTCACTCACAATATCTCAAATAACAACAATCTATTTTCTCAAAACCAGTAAAATTAACAGACTTCTTTAATGATGAAAAATTTCTTTTTGAACAATTAGTCAGAACCTGCATCGAATAATAAAACTTTGGAATCATCAAGCAGTTGTTCTAATTTAATGCTTGATTCAGCTATTCTCCATACTTTATAAAATAACACATAATCCTTAGCTAATGATGCCAACTAGCACCATCATTAGTCTTAATCCTAGGTTTTTAATGAATTACAAAACTAGTTAGAAAATTTTAATGCCCAAAGATTTCAAGGCAAGTAGAGAGCTGATCTAGCTCAGGTCCTCTCAAATTTTGCACCTCCATAAACAACAAAGTCAAGCAGCAACAATCATTAGTCCAATAAATAGAACTTGAATGTTACATCTACTGAAATGATTCCTTAATAGTAAAAAGTATCTCGCTTATCTTGCAAACTTTCATTTGAAGATCTTTAGAAACAAAACAGAGGGCATAACTAGTCGATTCAATCTTAGTCATAAATACCCAGCAATTTGTTGAGCGATTCAAATGCAAATATGAAGTCATTAGATCAGACCATAAATCGTGAATTGGAAAATTAGAGCGACAGTGTTAACGAATCAGTCATAATGTTCAAACAGAGTACTCATGAGACTAAAAGTTAGGATCCTACTCCAAAATCTATCTCCTTGAGTTCTTATAAATAAGGTTCTATCTAATCACATGAAAAAGATTCATCAGTAACTATCAGTATCTTAACTTAGAAAAAAGAATCTAGAAACAAAATGGCACAGGTATATTTGAGCTAACAGCTCTCAACTGATAGTTCTAAAATTGCATCTGATTAGAAAAAGCGAGAACAGGTAATGTCCTCTAATACATTGCCTACTTAGTTGACAACTGCTAGAGGAGCTTAAGTAGGTACAAGCATTGATATTAAACCAGCACTTATCACAAGCAATAAAAGCAAGAATAAGGGATCCAAGAAAAAAAAGAATTTAAATACTAACAACAGTGGCCTAGTATCTAATATAGCTATTGGCAGTAAAACACCTTAAGAAGTTTTCCAGTATAAACTGAAGAACCAATAATCTACAACTTTAAGAATAGACACTGCCTTGAAGGCTGTAAGCACTATTATGAACTCAGGATAACTTACTATTCCATCCTCAAATAACAAATCAGCATAAAACTAAAAGAAACAGTCAATTTCTTCTAATCATTCATAGAGAGTTAACCTTAATCAAATATTAAATAGACCACCAATAACAACTACACATAACAAATTGGAAATACTTAAGGGAAAGGGTCTTGGAAAATCAGAATCACAAAGATAGTTGTTTTATACTTAGAAAACTCAAGACACTATTCATGACAGCTATGATATAATTGACACTGCTAATTGTTAATTCATCTATTCAACTACTAACAATCTAACGAATCACATTGCTCCGCCAAATTCTGATTAGCTACTCACTCCTGAAACACAATAATAGAAGATACCTATGGAACAAATGCTCTAGCAGGAGTATTAAGATAAGGTCAAAGCGCTAGATTTTGAACTAGAGCACATGAAGGATCATTCATAGAGGATTAAAGTCGTCTCTAGATTCAGGCCACTAAACAAACTCGAAAGAGAATTCAAGGAAACCTACGGAGGGCCAAAGGATGAGATAATACAGTTCATAGATGAAACTAAAACAGTCAAAATTAGTGATTCTTATACAGGGCATGGAAATCATCTATAATTTACTTTTGATCACATTTTCAAGCAGCACACAACTCAAGAAGAAGTATTTAACCTTATTGGTAAGGAAACTATCGAAGACATTATGGAAGGCTACAATGGAACCATATTTGCTTATGGTTAAACAGGTAGTGGAAAGACATTCACTATGTATGGCTACGATTTGTTTGATGAGCAGCTAATGGGTATTGTGCCTAGAGCAGCTAGATAAATTTTCCAGCATATAAAAACACAAGACCTTGAAATTGAATACTAGATTAGAGTGCAAATGGTGGAAATTTACAAAGAATAGCTGAGAGATTTACTTCATGACTCTACAGATCAACCACCTGAATTAAAAATCAAGGAAGATCCAAAGAGAGGCACATATGTAGAAGGGTTGAATGACGTTTGCATTGTAAGTGAAGAAGAAATCATGACTGTCCTTTGTACAGGAGAAACTATGAGGCACGTCGCTTCGACACATTTAAATCAGGTATCAAGTAGGTCTCACTCTATTTGTATAATTGAAGTCATTCAAAAGTTTCCTAACGATTCTGAACGAAGAGGAGTATTAAACTTAGTTGATCTGGCAGGTTCCGAAAGAGTATCAAAGTCTCACGCTCAAGGCTAAGCACTTGAAGAAGCTAAAAAGATTAACTTCTCATTGTCTATGCTAGGTAAAGTTATAAATAGTTTGACCAAGAATGCTCCATATATTCCTTACAGAGATTCAAAGTTGACCAGACTTTTAAAAGAGTCGCTTGGAGGTAACAATAAAACATCCTTGATTGTAGCTTGTTCTCCTCATCATACTAATATTGAAGAAACAATCAGTACTTTGAGATTTGCTTAAAGTGCTAAATTCATTCAAAACAAAGTAAAGCTAAATATCAAGACTAGTCCAGAGCAGCTACAACTTATCATAGAATAACTTAAAATGGAACTGAGAAATTGTAAGGAGGAGATATTTAGACTGAGAATTACAGCTACTGCAGTTGGCTCAAATATCTAATCCTCGTAAAAATAAATCACAGAAACTCAGTAAGCGTTAGAAAATGATGTAGGCTAGGAATTCTAAGAGTACAAAATGTTCAAAGCCAATGGAGATTTGGAGTCATAGTACAATCAAGCATTTGATTCAGAAATTCTAAGGCAAGATTAGGAGAGATAAATTTTAGAGAATAAGCTTAAGCAAACTCTACATAACAGACCTCACTAAAGTTTATTAGCTAAGAATTATGATGTGATTGAGACCAATAATCAAAGAATGCAGATGCTGTCTCTGTTTTCCTCGGAATTTTCAAGTATTCCAGGCACAGGCACACCAAACTTTATATCCCCAGTCAAGAACTATGAGATTAAGTTAATGCAACTGATCAATAGAAATGAGGACTTAGAGATGAAACTCAAAAGTAAAGATAAAGATATAGATGCTTTGAAGTCTCAAAAGGAAGATTTGCAGACTAAGAACACTTTACTGGATGACAAGGTTTTGAACTACAAACAAAAGCTTCTTATAGCTGAAAAGAAGATTGCTGAGTTTGAAAGTGATAAAGATCTAATGCTGGTAAATGAAAGAAAATAAACTCACAGATTAGAGGACTTTCAAAGTTAAATCTAAGTTTTTAACTCTCAGATAAACTGTCTCGAGAGAGCATTAGAAGACTCAGAGAGAACTTGCTAAGATCTACTGAGAGAGAAGCAGACACTCTACCAAAAGTCAATTAAAGATTTTCTTAATGAAACAATCAAGCTGAAGAGGATAAAGGTGTCGGATGCCCTCGACAATTTTATCAACAAACCTTAGACTTTTACAGCATAAAATGTGAGAAAGTCTTACATCACCTAGTTAGATATCATCAATGATTTTAAGAATTAGGAAAATCTAGTAAAATCTTCTGAGCAGTTAGTTTCAAGCTTAAATGAAAAAGATTTACTTTCAAGAAACCTGTATTGCCTTGAAACTATTAATGCTCTTGAAGATATTCCTCCTGATCTCACCATTTACCTGCTTAAGTAAATGCTAATTGAAGCTGCCCTTGCCAATCACAATTTGTAGAGAATCTTGGCAGTCAACAGATGGAGATAAGTGATGGAGTATGGTAAGAACAAGATCAAGAGCAATCAGTGCAAGATCCAAGAGGGCACTATTCAGACTTTGGAAGAAGTACTGGACAGAACTAGAAAGACTCATGATAAACTCAGGGCAAGAGTAGACAAGCTAGAGAACCACTTGTTTGACAACAGAAACTACTATGGAGACATAGTTCTCTTGACTGAGGGCAACAATCCTAATCCCAATCAGGTGCCATGCGCTTAAACAATAGCTAAGGATTACTTGCCTAGTTCAAATGCTCATAACATCAGAAACTTCAATTCATTGAAAGACAAGACTAACTAACTGAATAATCACAACTAATCCCTAGTGTCAATGCTTATCCAAAATCAAAACTCAAATCAACAGCCTCTGAACTAGAAGTCTAGATTTATCAGAACTATCACCAACAGAACTCTCGGCAAAGCCTTCAACTTCATAGAGAAATCTCCCATGTCTAGAGGCAGTATTGGAGCTAACAACCAGTCTATTCTCTCTCACTACTATGGCTAGAAACACAACGCCAATTACAAGCCAGGCGGCACTCCCTTGAGATCTGGTGGCTTGAACAGCCCTGTTTTTTACAACTTCCAAAGTCCAATTAGAAGACAAAACACCTTTAACTACAATGGCTATCAACCGAATCAACCCTAGATCACTAGTAACCTAGCAGCTAAGAACAACAACATAGTGCTGTTGGCAGATGACTCCTCCAATTAATCAAATAAAGCCCTTTAAGAGATAATCGAGTATCAGAGCAATCAACAGAATAATATAAACATAGTTAACAACAATCTTAATCACAATAGCATTAACAATGACCAACTGACATTCGAAGATGCAATAGTTAAGTTCTTTAATTCCAGTCAGATTGAAGGCAAAAACTGCTAGAGAACTGGATTGAATCCTCAATACGATATGGGGCAGTCTGAGTAGAAAAATGGTGCTCAACTTAGTCAGGAAGATTTGTTAAAGATTGAGGGTCTTGGTTCAATGCAGGAAATCAAAGATTACATCAGAGCTAAATTTGAAAGATCATCCTAAGACAATTTGCAGTACTCTACATCTGTTCATCTAAATCCATTATTTTCTCAATATCAGAATAATGCAGCCAATCAGAATAATAACACTACTAATCTATTATCATCTCAAGTAGAAAACAATCCTCAGATAAACAGTCATACTACAAATAACAATCTCTATGGGCAGTCTAAGGATTATTTCGATGGTTAGGATCCTTCTGGCCAAAAAGGTGTAATATGCTCTTCATCAGGTAACTACCATGACAATCAAAGATAGGAGCATGTGATGACTCTTGCCTCAGATTATTTAATCACAAGTAATTCGGTCATTGGTCCAAATGGACTGTTTAGCAATTAACTTGGCTATGGAGCTGGAGGAAACGCTCATCAAAACGACTACTTGGATCGCTTATAAGAAAAGATAGTTTAGCTTTAGGAGGAAGTGGAAACATAGAAGTGTAGAGCAGAAGAGCATAAGAAAGCATATTATGAAAGTAAGAGATAGATTGAAATGATGAGAGATCTAATGGAGGATAAGGAAAGCAAGCACAATTAAATATTGAAGAGTGAAGTCTGTCAATGGGAAAATGCATTGAATAAGTTTAAAGAAATGAGTGAAAGCGAATTACTAAAGAAACAAAAAGAAATTTAAAAGCTACATGAAATCCTAGCTCAATGGATGGAGAATTATCAGCAGCTAGAGCATCGATAAGGAGGAGTGTCAAATCAAAATCTAGATTAGTTGCTAAAAGAGTAAGTACTAATTATTATTAACTTTATTTTAGGACTGTAAGCCATAGAAGAAAAAAATCTGGACTTCTTGTAGACTTAATGAAAACCCCTCGTCACAAAAGGCTCAGTAACTTCCTTCCAGCAATTCAAAGCATTGATATGAAGCCTCCAATATCAAGTAGAAATCACCGTAATGGAAATGGGTTAACAGAAGTGAGCAGTATTCAAACTCTTCATCCTTTAAACACCTATGCTAATATGAATCCAAATCTAAACTAAGACTTTGACAAGAAAGTAATCAACGGGGATAACTCACCTATTGCATAGGAGGACAGCTGCTTTGATTTTGATCAGTCAAACAATCAATAATTAAACCTAGACGATTTTGAAAGGAGTCATAACTTGCAATCATACGCCAGTAATGACTGAATTAAAGAAGAAATACATTCATTCATTCCTAAATGAAAAAATCCTATATTGTTTATTAAAGACCTTAATTTTTTTGTTTTATATAAAAATTAAAAGTTGATCTTAATAATTGAAATTCGATACTGTCAATATCATGATGATGAGGGGTTGAGATATTATTTACAGATGCATAGGACTTAATTTCATT